AGCAGGGAGCCCGATGCGGGACTCGATCCAGGGACTCCAGGATCATGACCTGAGCCGAAGGCAGTCGCTTAACCAACTGAGCCACCCAGGCGCCCCACAACAGCGTTCTTAATAGGATCTCATATAACTCCTTTTCTGTTTTTACATTTTTGTTCAGGTCAGTTGCTTCTTGTATAGTTTTTGAGTGTTTACTGTGGAATGTAGTGTATTGTTACAGAGGTGAGGAATGATGATGGATTTGACTGTTATACAGATGGGGAGGCTGCTGGAGAGGTGAGAGGCTCTGCCTTTGTAGACCGTGCAGTGCAGATTGGGGTTTCAGTGTTGTTTCTCACATGCGCATATAGCTACATACCTTTTTGCATGTTGGATATTTGGAAACACCCATATTAACTAGTGAGATACTTGTGGACTTTTGAATCTGTAACATTAGACCAATCGGCTGTTACCTCACAGAATGGTTCAGTGTCCAGGGTGGAGGAATCCTGTGTAAGAGAAATGGAACACAGAAGGATGGAGCAGTCCTGAGAGTCAACCTCTTTGTCCACCACTGTGCCACACTGTGTGTCTCTGGGAAATTTGTTTGTGAGAAAGTCTGTTCATGCATGCTTTTTCTCTTCTCTTCTTCTTTTTTTTTTTTTCTTTAAACAAGTAGAAGGTTTTCTATTGGAAATTATATTACAGTGGCACTGCCATACCTTGCAAAGGGATGAGAAGGTATTACAGTGATTAAGGGGGCAGAAACGCATTAACAGGAGGGAAATTCTTCAAAGGACAGAGCTCAGCACAGACTGAGCATTGCCTGCACATTGTGACCACAGCTTTAATGCTGGGCTCACAGCGCTGCTTGCTCAATTAGTTGGTGAAGTAGGTGTCCACTGTGCTCTGGGAGGAGGCTGTCAGGAAGGATGCTGACAGGTTCTTTGTGTTTCAGGATAACAAACTGCCTGATGCTTCAGGCTATGGTTTTTACCCTTGAGAGGACCATGCTCTTGCTCTATTTACATAAACCTGCTGATTTGCTGAGGATTGAAAAGCAGAGAGGGCTTTCTTTGCCTTCATGTTTTGGCTGACTTCGATCCCCAGCTTAGCAAATGCTCTGTTGTTTGCCGATGACACAAAAGATTCTTGGACACAAAGCTATATTGAGGTTGTGAGAAACAGCCAGAAACGCCCCTGTTCAATATCATTGCATGGATCATGGATATAGGATTTGAAGTCACTTAATCATGTGATCCATTCCCTGGTAGAGGTTTGGTGTTAGAGAGCAAGTCTCAACCTAGACCCACGGTTTTATTTCTAGACACCCCTAGTAAAGAAAAAAAAAGAGTTATCATGTATTGTTTGAATAATTGATATCGATGGTAATAGCCTCACTCATTTCTCTGGCGTATTTCAGGCTTGCTGATTTTAAGATTAAAAAAATACATATATATTTGCCCTGCAGCAGCCGTTTGCGCAATCTGGTAAATATGCATTTTCATATGGGTAATTTTGAAAATGTGCATTATGCACTTAATGGATTACTTCAGCTTTGCTCAGTTTTTTCAGAACTGCTAGCTTTGTAATAAAAAAGAAATGCTGGCCTTCTTTTTTCTTTCCTTTCCTTTCCTTTTTCCTTTCCTCTTTCTGTTCTTCTTTCCTTTTTCCTTTCCTAGAAAAAAGGTGTCTGTAGTACTTGTGTTGGCCATGGGAGATTTTCAGGTTGAGGATCATTGATCCAGCTGACTGAAACCAATTTTATAACTAGCTTCAGACAATCTATGCACTCGTAAATTGCATGAAAATTCTTGGCAAATCATTTTGGCTTTAAAAGATTACTGGGCATATATTCCACCTGAGATTTTAACATTGCTCTTGACTTAGGTTCTCATCTTGCCCTTGTCAAATTAAACCACTTTATTTTTACGCTTACTGTAAACATCTATATAAAGTTATTTTCTTAAATAGCTGCTTAATTAATGAGACAAGAGGGAAATATTTTTTATGAGTATTTGGCCTTATTTAACTCTATTTTGAAAATCACTAAGAGTAATAATAAGTAGATTTTTTTTCCCCCTGAGACTTGAATTCCAGATTGTTTCTTAGGATGTACAGTTGGATCACCCTAATTTTTATGGGAGGATAATAAAGGAAAAATGGACTCTACAGTAATTTTTTGTGCTTTTATTTTTAAAATGACTTTAAAAAGTCAGACCAAAACAATGTATTTTTTCCCATTTCTATGGCAAGTTAGACATGGTGAAAAATTTTAATTTATATTACCCCTGATCTTAGGTGGTTCTGTGTTTAATGACTACTTGCATAAAATAAACTTCTAAATTTTGTCATTTAATTATGAAGTGAGCTTATCTTTTTCATGTATAAGTTCCCAAATACTGGTAGAGATCACTTGATACAGTGATCTGTTTTACAGATTATTAGTCATGTGCATTGGAAATCTCACATATGAATTAGGATCAGTTTGGTTTGACATAGTAGATTTTTAAACAAAAAGAGGTAACTTTTTATCTATTAACAAGGCATTAATAAGTAAATGTGGCAATTCCATCTCTCAGGTTTAAGATTCTTTTTCACACCGCCTTATTCCTCGCGGCAGCATTCCTCAGGCCAACAGGTGGGAGTCCGCCTCCAAGACTGCCAAGAAGCGTTTAGGCACAAGGATACTAGGGGTCGTCCTCTACATCCCAATATAGTCCTTCCCTCCCTTCTCTGAGAGTGTTACATCCAGGTATATTTATAGATAATTATTTTCCTGAATGTAACTTTGCAATGAGAAATGAAAGAATATAGATTCTCCTTTTCTGGAAAGCTTTTTTGTATACAAGTTAGTAGCTACTTTAAGCCTCAGAGTTAGAATGTTTATAGTTAAAATGATTCTGTATACATTATACTGAAAAGTATACATAAAGCTTTTTAAAGAAAGGAGATGTTGCCATTTCTTTACAGAGGAACCATGAGAATATATTGGCCCTGGAGCTAACTCATTATAAAGTGGATGCCGGTGGAATGAAGGAGTTAAGAGGGTTTGGCATGGATAAGGTAGTGGAATTTTGGATACTATAGCCCAGTGGATGTTGAGCTGTCGTGCAGGACCAGACCATTGTATGCAGCACATTTTGGTCCCATGAACTTTAAGGAAATAGAAGTCATTAGTTGGGAAGTGACCCGTTTGTGTTGAACTCAGTGAGTATATAGCTCAGTATGACAGTGTTATGAGATTTAGAAGAGAAGGCTGTAGGAGGTGATAGGAAGAAGAGGGTCTATAGACTGATTTGTGTTCAGGTTGAGTGAGACAGATAAATAATTGATATCTAGAGATTTGAAATACTGGTATTCGGTACATCAGGGATTGGGGCACAGAAATTAAGAACCTTGGGTTCCAAAATTGTGCAAGTTGGAACTGCAGTTTTTTATCTAGGGAATGTTTTTAGTTGAATACCAAATTAGGGATTAGAAAGACAAATACCTACCGAAATAGGAAGAGTTCTCTTGTTCTTTAAGATGATTGGCATGTTAAATGGATGTTGCCTGAATGTTAAGCAGAGTTATTTAGCCTCCTGGACCCTGGAACAAAATAGAAAGTTCAGTCAACAGTTTATTCCTGAGCTACCCTTGTACATGGATTCAGGGATCGAATCTTTGTTGAGTCTCCATCTGAGTAGAGAAATCAGTTGGGACATTCTGGATGCCTGGGTGATTGGCATTCAGATTTCTTCTTTTTCTGGAATGACTCTGGGCTACAAAAATCCTGATGTCTTTCAGAAGGTTTCTTGGAAGGAAGTGTCCTTGGTGAGGGTTTTCTTCATGATCCACCTCTTAGTGGGTCAGCTAGTGCTTGTGGTCGGTACTGGACTGTCCATGGGATGGATGGCTCCATATTTCTGCTCCTTTTCTTTTTCTTGGCTCTGCATGTGTAACAGGCAGTAGAGGAATCTGCTTGTATTCTTAAGCATCTGAGTTATTCTAAGATACACTCATTATGAAGGGTCATGAGAAGGGATAAAACAAATGGCATTTTGAATGTGGGTATTACGGTTATTATCCCTAGAAAATTTGATTGACTGCACATGCCTTTAGTTCTCAGTAAATAATACATAGAGGATCCTATCTTAAGCTTTATGATGATCTTGGGTTGCCCTGTGTTGAGTGTTAAAGTCCCTTTATAGCCACTGCTTCCCTTAAAATCATTGCTTCTTAAAAAGAAAAAGAAAGAAAGAAAGAGAAAATTATCTTAACCTGCCATTTAAAAGAGCAGGCCTTTAGACTCCAGCTGTTGAGAGCATCAGAAATAATTACCCAACCATTGCCATGTCAAATATAATTTAAGAAAGCGCCCTTATTCCCTTGAGGAAAGTGTGGTTTGGTTTACTGCATCCCATCTCCAATTGGGTGCCTTGCTTTTCTTTATAATTAGAAAATAAAATGTGTTTAGGTTGAAATTTAGTAGGAAGTTATCCACAACCGGTTAGATTTCTTTCTGTTTCTTGGTTTAGGTGAAAAGGTCATTGTAATGGTGTGTTCAAGCCAGTCATCTTTACATCTTTCATCTATTTCCTCACAAGTTATTTACAGAAAATAAAGAAGCACTTGGCAAAGCCATTTCTCTTTGTGAAGACATGGTAGCCTCTCTCTAAATAAGACATTCAAAATTTTGTCTTGTGTAGCTGTGATCAAATAATTCCCTTGATTGAAGTTTCTTCGTCAAAATATGGTTAATCCTATGGGATTTCTTTCTTCCCCTTCTTCAAGTACCCTGGAGACAATAATTAAGGCTTTATCAGGTTCTTTAAATTACCAGAAAAGTGGTCAGTAAGAACCCCAAGGACTGTTTTCCTCTAGCTTAAAATTGTTTGTAATTTACAATTTATCTCTGAAAAATTTTTTCTATATAAGATATATGCTTTGTCATGTGTTTATTTATGCAGTGGCTTTATGGGCCCTGTCTTTGTTCCCTTAATGGTAAATACCATTGTTTTAATTTTTTTTTTCTTTTAAAGACTGTGTGTATATCGAGAGTCGGAGGCCAAACACGCCATATTTCATCTGTAGCATTCAAGACTTCAAACTGGTAAGCATTTTTTAATGTGCTGTTGAATCTCCTCTGTGCCTTCTCTTTTTCCAGTTCCATTGGCTGTCTGTCTCGATTGCTTCTTCCTGGCTGTGGACTTGGTAACCAGCCCACCTCTGAGTGCTCACTGCCTGGCAGCTGCAGCACACGTGTAAGGCAGTTACCAGTTTTATCCTTTTGGTTTTATAACACTTAACAAAGCTTGTACTGTGAACAGTATTCCCAAAGTTTTCATTTCTCTAGTAGCTGTTTTGACGATAATTTCAGAGATTTTCTTGAGTTTCTGAAGTAGTTTCTTTCTTCTCAGCCATTGTGAAGAGCCTAAAGTAAAGTAAATTTGGGAATTGGTGGTGAGTTGGGAAAAAAGAATATAAATGCGCCAGAGACTAGTTTTGGGTGGCAACTATCATTTCCTTAGAGATTTTAGTGAGTTTAGAGTGTATCTTGGGGTCATCCGGTGATGGAGGTTGGGGGAAGGAACTCTGGGTTGGGGATGGCATGGCTGCAGTACTTTCTCATTACAAACCTTCCCCAAGTTTAGAGGTGTTGATATTGCCCATTAGGCAATCTCTGGGCTTTAGACCGGTGGTGCCCACACTTGGGGCTTTGGATCCCTTGGTATCCGTAGAGATTTTACAAAGGTCTGCAAATAACCATTCCCAGCTCAAAATATGCCTCACGTATGTTTGTATAACGACTTCTCAAATATATTAATATGCTGGTGTGATTTAAAAAAATTCACTTAATAGTTAATGACAATACACAGTTAAGAAGCAGTTTATTACGTATTTTCCTCAAACAACTGATATGTGAAATACAGAGTATTGCCATTGGGGGTTCTTTTGAAACATTAAAAAGGGATCCTTGTACTTGAAGGTTGTGAACCACTGTCTCCCTTTTTAGGTATAGAGAAATCCCAATTCTTTAGCTCTGTAGACGTATGTATCAGTATCTGTGAATGCTCTTATCTCCAAAACCTTTGTAACTTGACAATATTTGTGTTCTCACATTCCGTATGTGATACTTCAGTCTAAAAAAAGGTAATGTAATATGGAGAGATCTTTAACTCTGCGTCTCTTTTCTTTCTTTTTATCATTTTTGATGACTCCAAATACCCAATTAGTTTATTCTGACTTAGCTAGTTAAAAAAATTGCATGCCATCTTTTTTTCTTATTAAAGTTTTGTTGCATAAGTAACACATGCTTACTGTTTTAAAAGAAAGTCAAATGTGCCATTTATTTCTAAGATTTATTTATTCTTGGTATGCTGCTTTTAAGTTCCCTGCTTGTTTTACAAGGAGGGCTTGCAGTTTAAATTTGTAAATCAAATGCTTTCTATTTAGATTTTATGTCAGTATGAAGTTTTGCCATTTTTAGAGGTCTTTGCTATTTATTATATATTTCCTTCCAAAGATTTTTTTTTTTACAGATGCTGCACTGACATCTGAAAATCTGGGCAGTGGTCTTGTTTCCTGAGAATTTTCTTTTGCCTGTGGCCTCTGCTACTGCTCTGTCCCTGCTCATCCTCTCTGTGTGTGATTTTTTTTTTTTTAAACCAAACATAATACCAGTGCACCATGGAAAAGATATAGCTGTGAAATAAAAATTGCAAAGGTTTTTTTTTTTTTTAACCTATTAGATTCAGACCCCTTTTTGTACAATTTTAGCACATTAGCAGTTGCCTTCATGTCTGAACAGCATCTCTTATGAAATGCTGATTACAATGTTATAGTTGCTGTTTGGGGCAGAGGTTCCTGCTGAGTTACAGTAATTGCTCAGGGTATTAACAGCAATAAAAGCTGAAGCTTCTGTTGTCAGTATTAGTCTGGCACAACACATTAAATCTGTCTGCAGAAACAGTGTGGGAAGTGGGCACGGTATGTAAGTTGCACACTGCTGTGTCTCATGTTTTTGTCTGAGTTCTGTATTCAGCACATGCTCGTAGTTGTTGTATAAGAATAACCGAGATAGTGAAATACTTACTCCTAGAAGGAATGTAGTTGTTGTCTGGATATCCACTTTCTTCTTTCCTTGGTTTGCAGTTCTACTTATGAAAAGATAACTTAATAGATGAGAATAATCATAGCTTTTTTGTTCCTTCAGCTTACCCAGGCTATAAGGGGAAAAGATGAACAGAAGGAAATATGCTTTGTTTCTCTTGAAGATTTTAAAAAGAAGAAATTGGAGTTGGTTTTGCCCACAGCAAATACCATGCATGGCAAGTGGAGCAGTGGAAAACAAAAACCCAGTAGCCTTTAAATATTGTTGATTAATTATATATTTTATCTTTTTAAGCTTTCTTGGTTTGGGGTTGTAACTGAGAGATGTGTTCCTTTGTTTATACAGTGAATTAGAATGACCCCTTACCATGGTGAGTTTTTGAATATATGGTATATTTGGGACTGTAAAAAGAACTGGGCAAATGCCCAGTTTGGTACATATTACGTAAGATTACAGTGTTAGACACAGTGGAAGTTAAGGAATTGAGAAGCAGGCATAATGAATCATCTATGACCAGTAACCCAAACCACCATAATGCCAATTTGTTGAACTGAGGACCCTGGGTAACATTTCAGGAACTAGTTCTGTGAGAGATAAGCAGGGTCTTCGGATTTTACGTGGGGACCTGGGTTGCCTTCTAGGCTCTGCTACTATGTCCCATAGAGTCGGAGTCCATGATATGGAACATAGTTGTCTCTGTGTGCAGGATTATATTAAACCTGGCAAACTGTTAAACAGTATCCCCTTTCACTCTCAAAGGTATCCTTGTTTTGGATGATAGTTTATATGGTCATCTTGCCTATGGGGATAAGATCCATGGCTTCTGCTTTGTTAACATTTAACCATCAAAATGCGTAAGTCACTACTACTGTACATTGGTAGATCTGTTTAGAGCCCGCATTTCACAGGGATAGGTGGAAGCTATGATGGCACAAAGTAATTGAGTTCCTAGCAGAACTGAGGCTACTTTTGAAAGTAGCATTTTCATGGGAAGCAAATTATGTGTTCTGTTAGGAAGCTTTCCTCCTCTTAGGGAGTGTTAATTTGATTGGGCTTATTTACAGACTAGGAGACCAAACTGGATTTGTTTGACTACAATGATAGAAGTATCTATGGAACAAGTAGTCAAAGCAGGAGAGGTAAGGTGAAATTATGGATAGTGTATGCTTAGAGGTAGGAATAGGGAGGGATCATCAATTAAATAAGTCAGCTTTGCACCTTTGGCTTCTGAACTAAATAATAAGGCAGCTAGCAAAATCTTTAGCTCTTTGAGAGTAGTAATATGGAATGGCAATCTATGATGTTTGTGGCCTTGCTTGAAAAGATAGTTGAGAGACTGAAGCAGTTAGCTGAGGGTGCAAAGCCGGAAGGATGAATCAAGAGTCACCTTAATGCAGAGAGGGTTGGCAAGCGTAAACAGGTCACAGGCAAGCTGATGTGATAGGGCAGGGGAAGCCAGGAAGAGCAGAGATCTGTGCAGAGAGCAGTAGATGGCCAGCAGGAATGAGGGCATGCCTTCTCCCTGAACTCTGGCGAAGCCCGCTGTGCTAATGCTTCTTCCCTCCGGATTCTTGGATTGTCCTTGTTTCTGCTCAGTAAAGCCCTCTTCTCTTGGGCCAGCTTGAGTGGATCTCCATGATTAAATGAAAGAGCCTGGTATAACATCTTCAACCCTTTCTTCTGTTGCACTCCCTTAGCTTTCCTAGGTCAGTGTGTGACTTAGTTTGCTTTCAGAGTTCTGTTCCTGAGTGAGTCCGTGTCACTGAGGAGCATTATATTCCCGAGTGCAGGGAGGAATGTTTTTGGTGGTAACTAGCGCCTTTGATAGGCATTTAACGAAAGCCTACTCTGTGTGCATTGTTGGGCGCAGCACCTTGAAAGAGACTGAAGTCTGCAGGATAAAGTTCTTCCCTCCGTGACCTTAGTTTCTAATTGGACAGACATTTGTGGCATTACTGGATGTCAGTCCTCTTTGGAGAACACTCTGAATAGGATTAATGTGAAGGAAGCCATTCACCTTTTGTGCACAAAGAAAGATTTCTTTCTTGCTTTTACTATAAAAATCAATAAAATTCCATTTTTATAGACATCTAGGCCTTCAGCATAATAGAGTGAATTTGCTCTCTAGAAATAATCGTAAATTCCGAAAGTGCTTCACAAGATTGTTTAGATTAGTGATTTTTCCGGCAGTAGAACACCGAGGAGTACCTTTTCTGGCTCTTGGTAGTACTTCATATCTACTTCTTCACTCATTCCTTTGAATATTCTGCATGGGCATTCTATGTGGATTCCTAATGAGTTCCTATCATTCATACAAGAGAAAAAAAATGAGATTTTGGTTTCCTAGAGTTATATAGTTATTGATTCTTTAACTGTTGTATGAAATGAATTTCCATGTAGGATATATAATTATTACAAATACTATTTTGAGCAAATACCATTGATTCATCTTGGCTCCTGTTTGGTTTATTAACCGTGGAAATGTTGTTGTTAAAATTAAACCTGGTCTTAGAGATTCCCTGAAGTTGGGGATGTATCATTAGGGATATTATGGTATTTTTAGTCAACTGTTTAGGGCTCAATGAGTTGTTATGACTCTGTGTGGATGACTGTGCTTTTGTATCATTTATGTCCCTGACAGCACACATTTTAATTGTGAATGTGGGGTAGCTGAGGCTGCATACCGCTAGTTACCTTGGCAAAGGCACGTCTCCAGTACTGCTGTGAACGTGGGGGCCATGTTATTCAAGATTTAACACCATCTCTCTCTTGGTTTCATTGCCAAATGTGAGCAGCAAGGGGAGGAACATTTGGAATTTCTGATTCCTAGGCTGCATCTGTAACTCTACCCCAAAAGTTGATTGCCACAGTACAACAGAGAGGGGCTGCAGAGAAATTAGCTTTGGTGCAGCTTCCTACACACAATTGATGTTGTCCTCTCTCCACCAAATCATGTTTCTCAGAAGTAGATTAAAAACAAGCTGCTTTTCCGTCTTTAAAATGAGAACTTACTGAGGATAAGTAATTTTATCTTTTCAATTTTTGTTAGAGACCTTTACATAGATAATGCTGAGGATATGGGATAGTTTGTTAATATGCACTCTGTGCACACTTCTGTGTGTACCTACAATGAGTTAATTATCAGGTATGCATCACATGCCACAGTTATTTAATCCCACCTTGGCTGCTGTGACCACTCAGCACAGAATGTATGGTGTATAGACATTCAGGAAGTGGGCATTCATTTTTATGTTAGGTAAATCTTGTATTGAAAACTTTTCTAGAGGTGGAACAGGGGTCTGCATTAGTGTGAATATGGCTAATTCAGAATTTGAGGTGATACTCGGGGACTGAGAGGAAGGAGGGATGGTAGAGTTCATGTGTTGGGAGCTTGACTGTGACATCAGTTGGTCTGTTCTTCAATTGCTGTCTTTTACTACCTTGGGTAAGATGCTTAACCCTCCTAACCTTGTTTTATTTACCTATGAGGTTGGGGTATAAATAAAGCACCTACCTTGCAGGTAGGAGGTTTTTAGATGAAAAGATCAAGCCCACAGAGTGGATGCATAGTGCCTGGGCCATGGAATGACATGGTAGTGATGTTGATGTTTCATTGGTGCTCTGGGTCTAAGCTTTTGTAGGGGCAGACACCATGCCTGTGTTATTCACTGATGTATACTGTGTGCTTATTAGGTCGTTGCCTGGCCCATATAAGATCCACAGTAAGTGTTTATGGAATATTGAATGAAATAACATTTCAGTGGAAAAAATTCACAGCATAAAGTTTTAGAAAAACTTTAGTAGTAATTTGATACGATGCCTTAACTACAAATTAACCTTCTGTTTATTAAACAAACCAGAAAGACCTGTTTCTTTACCTTTAGTTTACAATGTGTAGTGTTTTGGTTAGCCTGCAGTGTGTAGTATTTTATATATTTAAATAATAATCTGTTCTTAAAATACATTAAAACTCAGTTTCTTATTTTCTTCAGAAAATTTACGTGAGTGTAGCTAAAGTCATAACATTTTTTAGGCATTATAATCTATTTTGAATTTTCGATATTACTGACTTTTAGCAAAAGTAATGAGGGCTTAGTCTATAGGTAAACATTCCCGAGAAGTCCAGTGGATAGGAAAAATGCCTTACGGTGTGATGGTTCATTTTTGTGTAAAAAGTGGCTGTTTTTCTCTTCTTGATAGTCCCTCAGGTTAGGCCTGCAGAACTGAACATTTCTTTCCATACTTCCTTTTTCTCCTTTTAGTTCATTTCCTAGGAAAAGGTCAGTACCACTCACACACAGCTTTGCGACTTGGAGTGTAGTGTTGGATAATGAAGTGAGACCCATGAAGTTCATTAGCAACTGTTTTTAGTTTGTAGAGTGAGGAATTAAGTATTACTTAGAGACATAATGGAACGTACAGCTGAAATAATTCTTCCCAAGGCGTTTTTCCTTTCTGCTAGTTTAGTTGTTCTCACCTGTTAGGAGTCAGTGGGTCAGTGTGATACCACTCTTCTTATATGGTGATTTCTAAGTCAAGAAAAGGTGCATGTTCTTGATTTGGTGCTTCTGGAGGCCGCACCTTTTTTTTCTCCCTTTGTTTCAAGTAAAGGCCATGGTTGCTTAGTTCTTATCTATAAGCATTATAATAAACTATAATGGGGTATTGGACTTACTTCATGCTGTTTGTTTGGAATAAGCCACCAATAATAAATATATGCACTGAGACGAAATGTCCTTTTCGCATGTAGATTTGAAGTTTATAATTTTTTTTTTTAATCCTTTAAGAAGCAAGAGGGAGATGAAATCCTTAGCCCCAAGTTTAATGGACAAAATGTTGTTAGATATTCCTCCTGCCAGTTATGGGGCAATCATGTTTAAAGTTATTTTGAATCACCATCACCTTTTTGCATGATATAAATGGAGGGGATGGTATTCACGTAAGTGAAAATCACAGTGAGGCTTTGGGAATAAATAATCTCATAGCATCTTATTGGCCCCATTTACTCAGCTTCTCAGCAGGCTGTTTTCACATGAGTTATAGTCATTATAGGCCACATGGGATTTAAAGTTTTAATGGTTCGCAATTACTGTGAAGTTGGGTAATTCGCTTTCTCCTGGTCTATTTGGATTTTAGAACTAAGAAATCACTGAAAGAGTTTTGTTTAATTATACTGTTCTATAAAATATGTATCTAAAACGTTTAATAAACCTGTTCTATGTGAAATATTTTCAATGTGGAAAACTAGGCATTCTCATCTTTTCTAAAAAAGGAGCCTAAGAAAGTTTGAGACAATTTGATATTTGCAGAGAGCTGCTATGCAAGAATATTGGTAAAGTCTTACTATTCAAACTTGATTCCTTAGAACTGGACATTTGTAATTTGTATATGTATGTGGGTGTTTGTGTTTAAGAATGGACTCAAAATAGTCCAAGTAAAACCCATTAGAAGGATTGAAAGAAAATCAGGGAAACAGATAACTGCCCATGTTTTCTGATTGATAAAGAAGAACAGTGATATGCTTTAAAATGTATTTTTAATACTTAAAATGTTTTAATAATTATTTGAACTTTTGCATATTTAAAACAATGCCAAGGTGATTTGAAATGCCTTACTAAGTGTCTTCTTGATTTAAAACTCTTGATCTGAATGAATAAGGATTTGAGTGATCTGATTAATGAATTCCTAGTGCAAAAAATTAACCAGCAATTCATTTTTATTGGATGATTGTGGTAAAAAATATTAAGTATATTGTACATTCTAGTGCACAGTTGAATCTTTGATTTGGAATCTGCAGCACTGGTATGGGGAGGAGGGGGTGTACGGTGGTGAAGGTTATGCTGCGAACAACACTTGGTGTCATCATGTGTTGTCCCTGAGGCAGTGGGAGTCAGCGACTGAGCGCACAGGGAGTGTCCTGTGTGGCACCCAGCGTACTCTCTAGAGGGCGATCTGTACCGAAAGGAAAGAAAACCATCGTGAAGACGACATTCCCAGTATTGGCTTATTATCTTGGGATTCATGTTTTTGTTTGTTTGTTTTAAAAGAGACATAGAAAAATAAGTAATTAATGGACGATATGAAAATCTTGGATCACAGGAGGTTGTTGGTGATTCAAAAGAAACTAAGTGTAATAAGGCTCCTGAACAATGGTTTAAAAGTTTGCTTATTTGTCATTTCTAAACACCTTTAAGAACAGAGATTCTTATATAAGTATCTGGATTTTATGGAGTTTTAGTCCATTTAAAGCCACACAATATTGAATCGGTTAGTTTTTTGGAAGTGTTATGTACTCTCTAGAATATTTGAAAGGGAACACACTCAAACTGTTATTTGAGGTATCTTTTTGATACTTAAAGGACGGTGCTGGCTTTCAGAAGTTGCTCTGTAATCTGCTGCTGCTTTTAAATGTTTTCAAAGTTGAAAAGAAAAATAAAATAGACGTGTGATACATACCAGAACTGGTTTTACCCCTAAAAGAAATAATGCCTTTCTTGAGCTTTATGTTTTGTACCTGTTCACGTGGGCGTTGTGAGAAAATTAAAGCTCATTTGAATGGTGTCTTTTTTTCCTCTGGTATTAAGCCTTTGTCTTTTACCTTGCCTTCAGCTTTATAAAATTAAACTAGGACTTGGAGAAAATGATAGGGTCTTTCTTTGACCCCCTAATGTCTTGAATATTTCCTTATTAAGTATCTGTCTTATGACCCTAGCATCTCGCATTGGAAACTCTTCTGAAAGCTCAGTTTGTCCACTTGTGGTTCACTGTATAGTTGTGTTTATCTGATACCATTGCTTTTTTGTTTTTATTCTAAGCAAAGCATGCCATTGTCACTGTGCTTTGGCACTGTGTCGCATCTTAACTTGGTTATTTTGGGGGCACACACCATACAGCATTACAACAGGACCCAGATTCCACTGTGGAGTCAGAAGGGTCATAGGCTTGTTCTTGCTGAAATAAGGAAACAGCTCTGATTGACGCAGAAAGGCTAACTTCAGCAGTAGAACAAATTCTCTGAAAGGCCATCTGCTAAAGGGTGGTGCAGATTCCTGCTTGTGTGCTGCGTGCCCCTAGTAACCAGGGCCGGAGGGGACGTTGGGCATGCTAACTGAAAGCTCTTTTCTTTTTTAGGTCCACAACTCCCAGGCCTGCTGCAGATCTCCAACTCCTGCTTTGTGTGACCCCCCAGCATGCTCTCTGCCGGTGGCATCACAGCCACCACAACATCTTTCTGAAGCCGGGAGAGGGCCTGTAGGGGTAAGGAGAATCCCGTTTTTAAAAGCTATCAATATTTTATATCCCATAGGGTATAAAATAGGAATATTACCTCCCTCCCCAGAGCCCCTTTAAAAATGTGCTGTATTGTATGTGTTTTTAAAGGAGTAACAAGTACATGCACAGAGGAAGCAAAATACGGGACTTGCCTTACCCCTCTAGGACAGTTCCAGAAGTCAGCGGGGTTTGGTGGTGTGGGGCATTTGGGTGCCAGCAGAGAGCATGCTGGGCCGCTGCAAGGAGCAGGAGCTGGCAATCAGCAGCGAGTATGGATGTTGGCAACTGAAATGGGGAAAAAGGGGGTAAGTTGGAGTCCACGTGTGGAATGTGCACTTCCCCAGCATCATTGGGACTCACGGCCCACGAATCTAAACTATTTTGGATGCTGTCCTCTCAGGTGACATTTTACAGAATATTGCTCAGGAGTAGCCAGGCTTTTCTGCAATGCCAGATACAGAATTAAACACTTCAAAGTTTTGAGTTAGGGTTTAGATCTGGTGCTCTCAGCTGTGCCCTGGTAATGTCTCTGGTACGTGGTGCTAATGATGTGTGTGAGGTGCAGCAGGATGAAGTGTCTTTGGTGCTTTATCCCTAGAACACAGGGCCTGGTGTTAGTGATCCATGTGGGTTATTTGTGTGTGATATATCTCACCTTTTATGAAAGTTGTATATACACCTGTCTTCCTTTTTTTCCCCCTTTATAGGGATTTAATTATAAGATTTTCTGAAAGACAGGTGTTTATTGTTCTGATTGACTGCTGTTAATCGTGAAAGAAGTTGAAGACCTTTCTCTTGTATGTAATCTGACTGTGGGGTTCAAGTGCACACTCAATTAGGAAATAACACCAGGGAATAGCCATCACGTATGCACGTGCATAATACAAGATACTGGCAGTGTATAATGAATTGTTCAACTGCAGTGTAGAAAAATAGTATCTTGAAACTAGGAGAAGAGAGTGCTTCCCATGGGCTCTAGCACTTGGGAAAGTTCTGTGAAGGCAGGCAGGTTTTGAGGAGCTGTGTTTGTTTTTGATACATCAGTAACACGTGGACAGGGAGACTGGAAAAGCCTTCTAGGTGTACATGTCAGCCTGTTTCTGTAAGCCACATAGGCTATGGGCCTGGTGAAGCTGGGAGTTGAGAGAAGATGACTGCAGAACATCCATGAAGAGCACAGGTTAGTGGGTTGTGGGAGCAGAGCTGGGATATAATGTGGGCCCAGATCATAGAGCGTTGTAAAGGTGAGACAAGGGGAGATTTTATGTGATAGGCAGAGGAGAAGCCTTCGTAGGCTTTTTTATTCCAAGAAGATTGCTTGGGTAGCAGTGTGGAGTTCGGGCAGACTGTGGAAGCTCCAGTTATGTGGTGAGGGCTGTCACCCATGCGTGAAGTGAAGAGGACCGGGACAGTGGAGATACAGGATATTAATAATCATAAAACTAGGAATAATATATCATCACAACAATAATTTCATGTTCAAATAGTTGCTGGTGTAATTTATCAAGAATTAGACCAGAAAAAAGGTTCACAAAATCCTTGGAATTTTTGATATAATAACCATTCACAATGGAAGATAAAACCCAGTGTAGTGGATAAAAGTCTAATTTTAATCCCTGGAGAGATACACTGACATCATAAGGGACAAATTAGCAGAGTCCCAGCTTGACTACCTACTTTAAAAACTTCAGCCTTTACCAGTTATCATCTTGTTTCCGTATGTATCTAAGAAATGATTTTATCTTTCAGGCTGATATTTTCTCACTTTATTCTCCATTTAGTGTGGATGTCATTGTTAGACTGTTTCATTTACCACAATACTCACTAATCAGGATTTGTTGAATGGATTTAAAATTTTGCTCATCGTAACATTGATTTTTAGTAAACTTTTTGTACTAGCATTAGTGATGACCAGCATTTATTTATTTATTTATTTATTTATTTATTTATTTATTTATTTATAGCAGTGAAAGTATTGTGTTCAGTGGGGATTTAAATAAGTTCATGATTGGTGGCGTACTCAGATACCATCGTATGTAGGTATGAGAAGATTCTGTAATAAGATAATAAATCTTCTTTGAGTCAAGATGATGCTGCATAAAACAAACTATTGATTGTTCTTTAACAACGCTTCATGCTGCCAAAGTCATTTGAGCTGGATCTGAATCAGATCCAGTTGGCAAAGCTACCCCCCATGTGTGGAGCTCTCATAAATTCTGCAGGCACACAGATCTAATACAGTGCAATGAGAGAGCTGCTGGGAGAAAAAAATTGATTACAGGGTTGCAGACAATATCATTAACAGTTCTTGCCATGATACACCAGATGTCTTCCTAATAGACTATTTTTGTTAATTTAGATTTTAAAGGGTAGTGCTAACTGCATCATAATTGAACTTTCTTTGTATATTCAGGTATATGTGATCTGTGTTCCTACACTAATGATGACATCAACTCATAGATTTAATTTTATAAGTTTTTAACTTATCTGTTCATATTTAAAGTATTTGTGCTTAGAAAGGCAGCCTTTTTACTTATTATGGAGAATCTGTTAGCTTGGATTTTTTTTTTTTTTTTTTAAAGCAAGAAATGCTATGTTTGCTGGCAATTCAGGGGTAGCGAGGGATGTGAGATGGCAAAGAAAACATTTCCAAGATTCTTCCTGGACTGGGCAGAGATTCCCCTCCGTGCCCCTGCGTGCCCCCAGGTGCTCCCAGTAGTGGATGGTTTCAGTGGCAAGGACAGAGACTCTATCCAAAGCAGAAAGGTACAGCTATTTAAAGGAGACTTAAAATGCATATTTATTTTCATTGTCATGGATGCGGCTCTGCAGGCTGGAATTCTTGTTGGGGGCACCTAACCCCTTCCTTACTAGGAGATCAAGGGTTAGACTAATTCGTTTAAATATTTTTATTTTGTAGTCTTATCTTTTTGCATGTTTAAGACCTCTGTTGAATGACTAACACAGTATATAAATAAGACAGGACTGTAATAGTGGGTTGAACTATTTTATTTCCATCATTTTTTTTGAACTACTAGTTTTGTTTTTGGTGTATTATTCTTTAGAAAACATGTTTTTCTTATGATGCGTTCCTTTGTAACGGGACACGTTAAAACTAAAACACTTAGTTTTCTCACTTATAAAATGGGCATAGCACACTACTACCTACCTTAAGGGTTGTTGCAAAGCATAATGAAATAATTCACTGAATTGCTTAGCATGGCATTAAGCATATAATAAGCATTCATTAAGCATTATCTGTTGTCACATAGTTTTTCATTATACAAATTCAGGTTTTAAATAATTATTAGTGTTCTAGACATTCTCGATCTGAGGTCCATAGGCCCCAAGGACTCTTGAGTTTAACAGGGTCAATGAACTTCCTGAAATTGCTTGCCGAGTCTTATATGTATGTGAATTTTTCTGGAGAGAGTATTCATTTCAACCATGGATGCTAATCAGTAGATTCCTAAAATATTGAAAAAAATTTTAAATTAAGGTTAAGAACTGTGGCTCTATAAAGTCTCTGCAGTGCGTCTAAAACCTCAGATCAACTAGCTGTTTATTAAGGAAATAAACTAACATTGAGCATTTACTTTGTGCCCAGGCACTGTGCTACTCTTTTCACATAGTTTAATTTGTGATATTTATTTTGTTTTACAAATGAGAAAATTTGAGGCTTACAGTTGTATAAAATCTTGCCTTGAGTCAATGTCAGGACTGAGGTTTAACTCAGGAACTCACCCTGGCCTTGTGTATTCTCTCCACTGCTCTCATGGCTGACTTCTGTATTTCCTGGATGGTCCCTGCAGCGATGCCCACCTTTGCCTCCACTTTACTTGAAAGCTCCTGAGCTGGCATGCTGCGCACTTGCTTGGTAGAGCAGATGGGTTCTGCCACTGAGAGTGTCCCAGGCTGGCCCTCACCCTGAATGTGAATGGACAGTGGTGGTTAGCAGTATGGTGTGAGAACCCTTCTTAGTACCAGTTCATTTTGTTTTCCCATTAGCTCTTGTGGTGGTCCTATTTTTAGTATCCTTTTGTTTAAAAAATGCATCGTTAACAAACAGCTGCTCTTTGAGTTCCCTTTTTATTTATCTTAATGACATCTACATACATTTGAAAAATAATTCCTGTAGTCTGTTGTATTTGTTAATCTGTGTGTGTTTGTTTCAGGTAAAACTTCATGCATGTAAGAAATTGGACTTTGCATTTCCCTTGAAGTAAATCCACTCCACCGATCTACACAAGCCTGCTCCACTAACACAGAGCAGGAAGCTAGGGCCCAGTGGCTTTCCCCAGATCCCTGCTTCATGAGGGGCTGCTTAGGCCAGAATCTGGTTCTCCTGTGTATCTGGTCAGTGAGTGCTCTTTCCACTGCTCCTTGCTACCTTCCTTGACCCATAAAGGATGTCTTGTAGCTGGCCTATGCCATACATCATTTACTTCTTTAAAAGCTAAGGGCGCTTTGCTTAATATCTAGTTTAAACTTTTGTGACTATAACTCATACCAGTGTTAAAGTAGTATTTCTTGCCTGTGTAAGGGATTTATCATTTTCAAGAATCATTTCTAACAGTGGTATTTTTCATACTTGGGGCTTCAGTACTATTTAATAATTAAAAATGAACATTTATTATAAAATGCTGTTTTATTTATTTTTTTTTTTTTTTATTTTAAATTTTTTTTTTTTTTTTATTTATTTGCGAGAGAGAGAATGAGAGACAGAGAGCATGAGAGGGAGGAGGGTCAGAGGGAGAAGCAGACTCCCCGCTGAGCAGGGAGCCCGATGCGGGACTCGATCCCGGGACTCCAGGATCATGACCTGAGCCGAAGGCAGTCGCTTAACCAACTGAGCCACCCAGGCGCCCTAAAATGCTGTTTTAAATGCTGATTATGTTTCTTATGTAGTTGTTCCGTATAAAGAACTCTAATCTGGTTGCTTGTGTAGATATGCAGGAGTTGCTGAGGATATCCTGCTTTTTCAG